ATATATATATATATATATATATATATATATATATATATATATGATTTAAAAATAAAACAATTATATGTTCATGTTTTAGCAACTAGATTTGGTATCTCCATTTCAATTATATTTTAATCCTATCCTCATCATTGAACAATACCAGGTATGTAAATTCTTACATAAAATATATCTCAATAATTTAGAATTGTTATTGAGCAGTATATTTGCTTCACATATTTGTTAAATAATGTTGCTACAAATATTTCAGATATGGCGGTTGATAACAACATTCCTATTCTTTGGAAATATAGGGTTCAATTTACTCTTCAATATGATTTTCACATATCGATATTGCCGTATGTTGGAAGAAGGTTCTTTTCGCAGGAGAACAGCTGATTTTGTAATGATGTTCATTTTTGGTGGAATATGCATGATTGTATCCTTGGCAAATTATTATCACAATTGTGATTGTTGAAGGTGTTGCTACTTAGTAATACTATATTATGAAGTGATGTCACACTATCAAAATATATACTTTTAAAATATCAAAATAATACTTTTAAAAACATTTTATTGTTATTCCTAAACTATATTATAGACTTTTGCGTTCTTTGTCAATCTGCTGTTCCTGGGACATGCATTCACGATAATGTTGGTGTATGTTTGGTCTCGACGAAATCCTTTCGTCAGAATGAATTTTTTTGGATTGTTAAATTTCCAAGTAGGTTTTGTTAAAAGCTAATTACTGAAAGCTAAGGCTGAAAGATTACTTTTGTATTTGCAGGCTCCGTATCTACCATGGGTGCTGCTAGGCTTCTCAGTACTGCTTGGTAACACGATATGGGTCGATCTAGTTGGAATGGCAGTAGGACATACATATTATTTCGCGGAAGATGTATTTCCACGGTTAAGAGGAGGTTTTCGAATCTTGAAAACTCCGCAAATACTGTAAGTAAAAATTATTATTCATTATTATACTTAATATTAAATTTTGGAGTAATGATTATTTTATAAAAGTTAAATTATAATTTATTCCTTAATTAAATTTTTATAAAAAAATAGAGAAAGAGAGAGAGTCTTGTATTAAAACTACTATTAAATAATAACATGAGGCTATTAATGATGGATATTAATGATAATGTTTAATTTGTTTATTCTCTTCAGTAAGACTTTATTCGACGCACATCCGGAAGATCCGGATTATACGCCGCCACCGGAAGATCGGCCAGGTGGTTTCAATTGGGGACAGGAGGCTGATGTGCAGTGATTGAAATTCCATAGCTCACTTCCTGATGTTGTTTCTGATGTCACCCAAGAACGTTGCAGCAGGCAGCGGCTCTATTGTTGTTCCTTCATCCTCAGAATTACAGATAACAAGCGCTCGGATTTGCACCCAAAGATGCGTTATGAGATACATGTGAAGGGTAATATATAGGCTGTATAAATAATTGGATGGTTTCTTTTAAACAAGAATTTCCCAACAAACTTGTGGAGTCGACGCTTTTTTAGCAAAAATTCGTCACAAGGTCAAATTCCAAATTTCATTCAAAAGTTAAAACCGATAGCTTGCAATCAAATAATTGTCGAGCAAAAGTTGTCTCAAAGGAAAGAAAGAAAAAATAGAATTCTAGTTAAGAAAATATGTGTAAATTATTAGATATTATGTACGCAGATGAGAAATCTGGATAGATGCGTACACTGACACGCTTATTGTAGTAAGTCATTATCAATTCTGTTTGACTTCGTATGTACATGTTCATATGTGTCTTAACTATTCGTTTCTGCGTACAAAATCTAAATTTTACTAATGAGATTAACTTTTTGGTAATCAAGTGTCGTGCTTCTAGTATTACTGTGAAAAGAAATGATTTGAACTGACTTTAAAGTATACAAAGCGCTGCCGAATTATATTTCTAGTTTTCAATCAGAAGTTCTCTTTCTAATGCATCTGGCGTGAGCGTAACTGTATAAAGATTTATAATTTTTGGTTATTATTAAGTTGTTGCGTGCAGGATGTTCTGTACATAACTTCATATCATGTATAGTAGTTAATTTTGTCTTAATATATTTTAGTGGCTTTAATGGCGAATGTTAAAATGTTTATAGATTGTCTGGATTTTGGGTTGATTTTGTAATTCAATAGAAATGATATTTTTTACACCTGGGAGTGCGATTAAATTAGCATTCCGAGGGTTAAGCCAGTTTAATCGTCTCTGTCGCAAATGTGTACTTCCGATTCCGCGGTAATTATAATACTTGCAAATTCGTTAGATTTACTATTTATTGAGAACGACATCACTTTTGTAAGAACAACATTTACGATCGGTGGCAACTTTTGTGATACATTCACCGTACTCATAATTTTTGCAAATATTAAAGAGAGGGAGAGAAAGAAAGAGAACAAAAAATGCCATTGCATGGGAGACTATTTTAGTGTATTAAAAGCATTTAATTATATTTATTATGGTAGCGAAGTGTATAATCTAGGCAACATCTACAGAGTACAAATCGTTAAATATAAACTAAAGAAATAATATATATATATATATACACACACCTCCCATTCTCTTTGTTACATATATATATTGTGTACTATGTGAATATAACAGAGACTTGCATTGATTGTAGTTAATTACTGTCGTCTCTTCTTTTATGAAAACGATGGGAAAATAAGGTTCCTTCTAGAATCAATGTGTTGCTCAGTTAATATTTTTTAGCCTGTTGTATACTTTCAGTTTTATGTTCTGAGCGCACTTTGGTCACAAATTAAACAATTAGTTAATTACTTAGAAATTGTTGATAATACGAGTTATTAAAAATTTATAATAGCATGGAATATTTAAATTTTTTATTTAATCTTTTCGTTCATGGAATAGTGAACATTATTTTGCCACATGCAATTAATAAATGACAAAATTGGAAGCAGATTTTTTCTGTGATCCCATGATTATTGTACAATAATATCGTAAACAAAGTAAATATGAGTTTTTAACGTGAGTATCGTAAACGAAATAAATATGAGTTTTTAACGTGAGTATCGTAAACGAAGTAAATATGAGTTTTTAACGTGAGTCGTCTTTACGATTGAACATTAACATACAAATTTATTTTATGCAAAACATTGATTTATATAAAGAAAAAGAAGTTTGGAACTCCCGATTTCGAGCAATAATTGTTCAAATTATACAATCTTTAGGATTCTTCCGTCTTAAGCCACACAGTCTTTTTTTATTCTTTTAAGTTTGTCTTGCATTTTTAGAACTGTAAAGATTTCCTTATTTATATATATTTATCTTTATTTTTATATATTTGGCTTCCAGGATCCTGAGAGGATATTAGGATACTTAAATCCTTTGTTCGACGAATATTTAACATCTTATATTCGTATTTCTGATGTAAACATCTTGATTTCGGATTTTGGAATCGTTATATCCTTCAGAAATTCTGGGATTCCTGGTACCTTCTTAAACATTAACATTATCATTTGGACAATCGATATAATCAATGATTACATCTACGATTGTTTCCTGTTACCACGCGTTTGTATTAACTCTTTCAGTACTCAAAATAAGATTCATAAAGATCAGTTTTTATTTGTTTTCCAATTTTATACCTACGCAATCTTTTTTTATACTTGTTGGCTAAAGAAAGAAAATGACAAAAAAAAAAGTAAAAACTGACTGATTAGCTGAAAATGACATGTAATAATATATAGGTGCTGAAAGGGTGGATCGATAAACGCGTTCGCCATCGCCAAAGAGTACTTTAATAAATAATGAAAAGTTGTAAAGAAAACGAGTAAGAAATAATGAATAGGATAAGAGAAGAAATGATTTTACAAAATCATTTATTTCGATTTAAATAATAAATGATTAAAGCGCAATAGGATATCAACGATGTATAACTGAATACACGTACGCAATGACATGGACTATAATACAATGATTATCGGGGCTCTATTGTACACTCGGCCTTTATTGTTTTATCATATTGCCACTGTTGCTAAAAGCACCGTGATGTCGTCCGGCTTACCACCTGGAAGATTCGAAATTCGCTTTGCACACTTTGTATCTCTTGTCGCAAAACATTTTTCACTTAATTACTCTTAAGTATTTTTTCTAAACGTTATCTCTGGTAACCTATTCATACTGTGAATCGACGTTATTTTGAGAAAGTACATTCAATGAAAAACAGTTTTTAAGTTTAATTAGGATTTATGTCTTTTTGTAAGAGAGAAAATGATAAATAAATATTTAATGTTTCGAGAATTGGAGTTACTTTTGAATGTTTTTACGAGACTCTTGTAAAAATAATTTTGTCCTATTTACATAAACATGTGATATTAAGCGAAACACGATAAAAGTGATTATAATATCGTTTCATTTTTTACATACCTATTGCATCAATCCCGTTCTTCTGGGCACTTTGAGCAAATGGAGACATAAAATCGCCGTCGAAGGCCAACCTGCGCGCCATCCAGGCTATAGAGTTAGCGACGTTTTGTATCTTCGTCGGGTCCCTTTCACCTTCAATCTTCCGCATTTCGGTGACTAGCAACTGGTCAGGCACATTGTCGAATACCCCATCGGTCGCCAAGAGGATTACATCGCCGTCCTCGACGCCGAAACTTGAAGTGTCGGCCGATTCCGGACTATAGAAGAAACAGAAAGTTATTTTTTCCATCCTTCATTGCGCGAATACGATATTACATAATTAAGTCGATAAAACATAAATATGATCAACCTGTCACTAAGCACCAGGCGAGAGTGTCCCGGAGGTGGCAACGATAATTGGAAAGGAGTGTTGAAGTAATGTTGTTGCTCGGACGACCGGTGTACAACTTCCCCTCTTCGTACGACTACGAAGCCGCTATCTCCTATATTGGCTGTGTAAATGCTGCTTGTCTCTTTATTGAGAACTATGACGCATGCGGTGCTACTACCTGAGAACGATATATAGCGAGATAAAAAAAGTGTAAATAAATAATGACTAGTTCCAATATTAATGTGATATTTTATTCCCGCGATGTGATGAAATGCTCACTTTGATTAATGACGCATCTTTCGTCGTTTTATTTCTAATGTTTCATTAACATTTCAGTTTATTTCATCAGAAGACTTCTTTAGTAAAGAAGCAATCTGATTCAGTTCAATTGAAACGTTTATGAAATATCGGAACTAAATCAATAAATGATACGTTGTCAACCTGGATGCTAGATCAAGCATTCCAATATTAATGTATTTGTGACATTTTGGATGCAATTTACATACCTAATATTGGTTGTTTACTTTCTAATAATTCGTAGTAACTACGTGCTAATAAGCCAGCTGGTTCTGTAGGTGCAAATTTGTCCACAGAAACTAGCCTCTCACAAGTTTTCATCAAGCAACTGGAGAACTCTCCTGGATCAATTCCATAATGTCGCCATCCCCCTACACCATCAGCTACACCTAAAATATCATAATTTAAAGTAATTAGGATATAACTGAACATATAATTTTTTAATTTTTATTAGTTAATTTTACATTGTCATATATGGAACCTAATCACAGAATATAATTATGTATAAATAACTGCATAAAGTAAAATAACTTATTACATCGTAACTTCAGGTTCAGAGTCCACATTGCTTTATACACTTAATAGTAATCCATGTATAGGATTCATTAAACTGTTATTTTGCAAACAATCTAAAGAAAGAAGCTGAATGAATAAGATATAATTTTTTATAATTTATCTCATATTAAAAATGCATATATGTAGAAAGCAATAGATTAAAAATTTCAAACTACAAATATTAAATTATATATTTCATAACTAGAAACAAATATGCAAATTTAGACAATTAGTATGTTTCTTTTTTAGTTTTATATTTTCATATTTTCTGTATTTAAAAATGAAATAAATATATGTTTCTTTTATGAAGCAGGGAAACATAGAATATCAAAGAAAATAGAAAAGAAGACAAAGAGATTTAGGTTCTATCTTTTAATTTTATAAGTTTTAAGATTGTCAGCTGTATTTTTTGCCTTTGAAAAATGTTTTTGTTCAGAAACTTCAAGTAGAGAACAGTGAACAAGAGAATAAAGAAATTATGAGAAATAAATCATACTCTCAAATCCTTATTCAGAATTCTTTGTTATTAAAAGAAATGTCTCTAAATATGCTTATAAGCTAATTAGGAAGCTTGTAAATCCCAGATACACCTTTATCAATAAAAAGAAGTTCAGAATCTTGAGGACAATGTTCAGAATCAAAAGGAATGGCAGGCTATTAATGATGAAGTGAAATCATGACAAAATTTTAAATCTATTTCTCCTATAGATATACTTTACATTTGCACCTTATACATATAATTCTTCTAACTTATCCATTTTGCAATTAATGTATTTGAAACAAATAAATTATATGTATGTATATAAAATTTGAAGAAAATAAAGGAACAAATTTTGATTATGTACGGCCAAGGGAATCAGGAGAATAATCGTCGACATACGTCGCGTCGCTTTCTCTCCTTCTTCCACTTCCTTATTCATACTTTTTCGTACCTATGACTTCGCCAGCCTTGAATTTGGCGCTGAACCAAGCGTCGTCGCCGAATTGACCTCTACGCATTCGACCCCGCTTAAAGTCCTTTGGGAAGCCGCATACAGCGGAGATGAACGAGGCCTCGTGGCGCTTGTTGTTCGCGACAAAACCCGCGTTCGTTTGCTGCTCGGCGCCGCAAGCAGAGTAGCTCGCAATGCTGTTCCAAAGCGCTCGCGACAGCAGCCGACCGGTCCAGTAGATTGACTGCATCACGATTCACGACGCCGAATGCTAGACTTTAGAACGGCTCACGACCTTTGCACAACTAGCACCAACACTGACGAGGACGACAACGGATTCACGACGTGCATCCTTCTTCTTGCACCTTCGTCTCCTCCTGCGATAGCGATAGGTTATTCTGTACTCTAGACACTCGTTAACACCACAATTCGAATGCACTTCACGAATATTCCAACTAACCTCTATTTGTCACTTTCACCTTGTTTAGTTCGCTCAACGAGAACCGTCAAGCCTAAAAGACCGTGTAGCGCGAAATCATTCGTAATTGCCCTCACAATCCTCGTTCGTTCACTACACTATTTGTGAAATGCATGCAAGAGGGTTCACAACCGACTCGACGTACCGTCACGTGGCGCGCTAGTGTCGACGATTATCAATTACAATCGATTTCAGAAAGCTGATGTTTTATTGGTGGTGTAAGTTCCGATCCACAATAGGTGTAATAAGCTTTAAGCTTAAGAAATTGACCAATCACAGTCGATTATTTTCCTCAAATTTGACTGTGATTGATCAATTAACGCTAGAATTAAGAGCTAGAAGGTTATTACGGAAAGCAGCATATTGATTGGCTGTCGCGCGAACTTCCGCCGCGCGGCAAGCATTATCGCGTCCTGTGTGCGGGAGCCATTAGAGTGAGAAAAAGTATATTTGTTTCACTTTAACTTATTGCATTAGTTCGGTGGTGCAGCTAAAAAGAACAGACTGTAGATCCCTAGTCTTCGACTACTAGTAACAAGAAGAAAAAGACGGTTTCCCATCTAGTTACTCCAGACAATCTATGGTGTACCATGGCGGATTTACCATATGTACGCGCACGTGTAACGTATCCTATACGCGATAACATTGTTATTTTAACGTTTTTATAATTCTAATGATGTAACAAGATCCTTTTGTCCCAGACGATTCGTTTTTAAGTCTTGGATTATTCTCAACGTTTTTTTACAAATTCAAGGATGAGCACGATTCTGGAGAAAATTGCCTCTATCGAGGCTGAGGTAATCTGTTTATCAGCCTCGCGATTTTTGGCATTGTTGTTTAACAATGAACTATTCTTGTAGATGGCTCGGACTCAGAAGAATAAAGCGACTTCTGGACACTTGGGTCTGCTAAAGGCGAAATTAGCCAAACTCCGGCGCGAGTTGATCACTCCGAAAGGTGGCGGTGGAGGCGGCGAACAAGGTTTTGAAGTCGCCAAGACCGGTGATGCTCGCATCGGCTTCGTCGGTGAGCTTCTTTAATTGATTGATAGATATTTTATGAAGTATAATTGTTACAGGCTATATACTATTGCATTGTTGAATTAATATTGTTGAATAAATTTCATTCTAACAGATAGAGTCTGGTTTTACTAGTACTCCTTGCTTTCAATTAGAGAGATTATAAAGTCTCATTGGAATATGACAAGATTTTAATTGTTATATCACATATAAATATGTTCTCAGACAATCTCTAAGATTTGACATAAAATAAATGTATAGGTTTTCCATCTGTTGGGAAATCCACTCTTCTAAGCACACTGGCTGGTGTATACTCTGAAGTAGCCGAGTACGAATTTACAACACTTACTACAGTTCCTGGATGCATAAAATACAAAGGTGCAAAGATACAAGTGAGTAAACAAGTGTGTGCTCATTAATTCTAATTTGTATTAGATGTGCACTATGCATGACTGTCAATGATATTCTTTAGGATATCCTCGATGTCGCTTACTTTGATGTTTTTTTATATTGCGATTTGGAGTCAAATGTACGCGAGAGTAAAATTAAATAAAATTGTAACGGAATGTACCTTGCAGCTGTTAGATCTTCCAGGTATTATAGAGGGTGCAAAGGATGGTAAGGGACGTGGACGACAGGTCATAGCTGTGGCACGAACCTGCAGCCTGATCTTCATTGTTCTGGATGTGCTCAAACCGCTTGGCCACAAGCGATTAATCGAGCATGAACTGGAAGGTTTTGGACTGCGATTGAACAAGCAACCACCAAATATTACTTTCAAGAAGAAGGACAAGGGCGGTATAAATTTGCAAACCTTGGTAAAAAGAATATCTCGTCGACAATTCATCGATATTAATGTGATCTGTACGACGCAATATATCGAGTTTAGAGAATTGTTGTATTTTCTTAGTGTATACAATCCGAGCTCGATTTCGACACGGTGAAGATGATCCTGTCGGAGTACAAAATAAGCAACGCAGACATCACATTGAGGTACGATGCTACCTCTGACGATCTGATCGACGTTATAGAAGGAAATCGCGTTTACATCCCTTGCATTTATCTATTGAATAAAATAGGTAATTATATTTAATTGATTGATCATAATAAAAGAGGAATCTATGCGCTGACTGCTGAATCTTTTTACAGATCAAATAAGTATAGAGGAGCTGGATATTATTTATAAGATTCCACATTGCGTGCCTATCTCTGCACATCACAAATGGAATTTCGATGATCTACTAGAGAAGATGTGGGACTACCTACAACTCGTTAGAATGTAAATTTATATCTGATTCTACATCGTCGTAAGACAGTTAGGTTAATCATCAGTTTAAGTTTTATTCTATTGAATTTTAACAATATTAATCTTTTTGGCAGTTATACCAAACCGAAAGGACAACTCCCAGATTATAACGCGCCTGTGGTATTAAATACTGAAAGGCGAACCGTCGAAGACTTCTGCAATAAACTTCATAGATCGATTGCGAAAGAATTTAAATAGTAAGCCCTTGAAATTTTATCTATGGCAGAAAATCATAACGTATAGTTTGTGGACTTTAACAAAATAAATTGTTACAGCGCGCTAGTATGGGGTTCATCGGTGAAGCACCAACCGCAGAAAGTGGGGAAGGATCATCTTCTTTGCGACGAGGATGTTGTGCAAATTGTAAAAAAGGTGTGATCTTATCGTTGTATTGCTACTTCTCGGCGTAAAAATAAAATTTATTAATGAGATTGATATGAAATATATATAATTAAGTTCATAAATAATCCTTAATATAGAATCTGATAATGGAATCCAACTGTGATCGATCGAAAATATATAACGGGTTTAGTCGTGACTAAATAACGGGCGACAGGTTTCAGAGAAAGAAACGCGAGATGGCGTTGGGTACTACATTGCCTACGATAGACTCCTTATTAGTTTCCAAGTTCCTCCGCTACGAGTCGCCACTATCCTTAATGAAGACGTAGTACGACAAACGCGCGATACAAATCAAGAGAACCTTTTATTTTCATGTACTTTAATTTCTTTATTTTACGTAGAAAAGACCAATTGTTTCTTATATACATGTACATAAATAGATACGCGTGTATAGACTTAAAAAGTAAACTATTATAAGGTCTTTAGAATATATTCTTTCCTTTGTTGATCCAACAACTTTTCTAAATGTTTGCACTTTGAAACGGCGTCGTTGAGTTTCTTATTGAGATCCTTTATGACCAAAATTTTCTGAGTGAGTACGAGTTTTATCCTGAAATGAAACATGATACGTTTAAAAGATACGCACACATCGGTAATGGCATTATTGGTTTTATTCGTTAACGATTCATATATTTGAATTTTTAACCTGCTATGCAATTGTGCCATAAGTTGGTCCCTATTAGCATTATTCCGGGTTATTTCCTGATACAACAAGGCAATCTTGTCTTCTAACTCTCTTTTTTCTGTTTCAATCTCTTGTTTCGCTATTTCTCTCGCGTTGTCTCTCTCTATGGTCAACTTTGCGACTGTCTGTAAATCGAATAGTCGTCAAGTTGAAAATGTTTTAATGGAACTGCAGGAATTATATTAAATCTCTCTTTCTCTCTCACTTACTCACTTACTCAATTAATCGTATTTATTAAACTTACCTGATCCATGTTACGTAGATTCGACATACATTCTTTAAATTTATTTTCCGTTTTCTCAAGTTGCTCTTCAGTGGATGCAAATTTTTCCTCTAATAACAATAATTTGTTTTTATAAACGATTTCACTTTTAATCGCAGCTTGCAGTTTTACGTCGTATTCTTCTTTCATCAGCCTGAAAGATATTTCTGTGGAGTTGCTATTACTACAATAATTTCTACGAGGTCGCGAACACATCGCTCGGCTTACACAAATTTGTCATCGAAATTTTGCTGTAACTTTGTTCGCACGTCGCGCGACTCTTTTTCCAATCTGGATATAGCGATTTCTATCTGCTTGTCCCTCTCTCTCTGACAGTCATTACGAATCGTGGCTTCTGCTTTCATGAAATTCGCGCTTTGTTGCTTCTTATAATCATCCGCCCAGGCAAGCCATTCTTTCCTCAAGGATTCTTCAAAATTTTTCTTCGCACTCTCGTGTTGCTCCTTTAGTATTTCCGCTTCTTTCTGCGGAGAAAACCTTTACGCTTGGTAAAATATATTCTTTCCATTTCCTCTTTTTCCTAAAACATACCTGAAAGCGCGACTGCGTCTGTTGCATCATCGCGCTTGTTTCCTGGTCGCGTTTCTTCCGCTCCGCCAGGAGATTCGATCTGTTCCTCTCGAAACGCTCCGCGAGTGTGCTCTGCAGCGTGTGAAAGTGCGCTTCTTGTTTCTCCAGTTTCTCCTCATATCTGGCCAAGTATAATTTCATTATGGTTCACGTGCACCCTCTTGAAAAATAACGCTAGGAATCATATATAATATACGCGATCCTTGCCACGCACCGTGCCATCAGTATGTCCTTCTCCTTGGTCAACAACTTCTCGTGACTGTCTGTCAACTCGATTCGCAGTTGCTCCAATTGCTGATTCGATCTACGCAACGCCCGCAATTCCACGTCCTGTAACTCCTTTATGTGCGCGCGTCTCAGCTCCTGTATCTCCCGTTGATGTTGCTCCATCATATTATGCAATTCCGGCTCTAGCCCCTTCACCGTCATTTCCTGCGAGATCGATCAATTCTGCATGATATCTAATTATTCATCGCACCGCGTGCGATCACATTGCGTGACTAAGATCCGACCAAAGGAAAGAATCACCGAAACTTATTGCAAATCGATCAGAATCGAAAGATCACCTTGATTTTCGAGGTCTTCATCTCCAGCCATCGTTCGCGCCGTATCTTCTCCGACGCCGCGACGTTTTCCTTCGCGCGTTGCAGTTCCACTGTGTGTCTCTCGTTAATTACTTTTATATCTCGTTGGATCTTCCGCTCCATCTCCTTCATTTGTTGCGCCAGAGAGTCACATTTCTGTATGAGATCGGTCTTCTCGGCGATCAGCTGTTCGATGAACTTCTGATGGCGTTTCACGATCGTCCTGTACCTGTTCTCCAGCTCCTTCGTCTTCGTGGCGTGACATCGTTTTTGCGCGGTCATTTTGTCGCACGCAGCCTTACGCTCGGACTTCAGTTGGTCCTTCAGACATTCGATTGTCGCATTCTTCTCTTCTATCTGCAATTTCGCGATCTCCAGATCGTCCCGCTGGCAACTGGAAATCTGTCTGTTTCCCGTCTCGTATCTGCCAAAGGAGTGATATCATTTGTAAAAGACTTTCTCCTATCTTGGATTATATCGTATCCTACGACACTCCGTCGAGTGAATCCATCGATCGATAATATTCTCACCTGCTGAGACCCCGACAAGGTGAAATTATAGTCGTCGCGCTGTTCGCAGTAACATTATTCGCTTGTGTATCTTCTGAAGTAACAAAGATTGCAACATTGTAGGAAAATCGTTTATTCTAAAAGAGGGGGACCAAGTAACTTAAATACAATTAGTGACGTTAGTCTGTTAAGTGTTAATACCATTTTCGAGGGTTCCCAAGAAAAACATTATGTCTTCATAGGTTGTGGCGAGTGATGTGCATTTTTCACCGGTCACATCCCTCTCAGGCTCGATCTGCGCTTAATCGTGGTTATTTTGTAATAATTGTATAATTACAATGTAATTAGTATACTATCACAATTAATTAAAACTGATAAAAGAGAATCGTACATCTTAATATCGCAAAAATTAGTAATAATAACGATTGAATATTAATAATCTTTCGATAAATCAGCCTTCGGATTCGAATCGACAGATATCAGCATTTTAAGAAAAACTTTTCGGTCGCTTACTTGATCCAGACAATTGCGCGATGCTGGCTCCGGATTGGCGTCGTACTTTATGCACATGTCAAATTGTTTGTACTTTGCAATTTCGACACTGCTATCTTTTTCTAATTGATTTATCATGCCACATAATTGTTCAAATGAGCCGGATGATTCGATTAGGTTCTGGTTGAAATCGCGCTTCTCCTCACATAAACTCTTGGTCTCCATATTTTTTAAATTTATTATATCTAATATGCAAGAATTTTCTTCAATATATATTTGTTGGACGCCTCACAGTGTCTTGCGTTGCTAAAGAATCACTGCCTGAACTGACTAACAAACTTGCGCGCCGTGCACACGCTTTTATTTACACGTTGACCGACGATTGCCATGGCGATGCACGTGCCACAAACAAGGGTAGTCTCCCTTACCCGGATCACAGTTTTAGGGAGAATGCACATTAGTAATTATTAGATATTCGAGTATCTCAATATTTTATTTGCGTTTAATTTTTATTTTTCATTTCAATGAACAAAAAATTTATTTATTTTTCATTTCAATGAGCAAAAAATTTATTTATTTTTCATTTTAGTGAGCAAAAAATTATGTGACTTGCGTGACTGCGAGTATGTGCGATAAGCGAATATTAAATAATTAAAATTATAGCAGTATATATTAATGAGTAAATAAAATCAAACTTTCTGCTTTTCATTATTTTCTATTAATATCGATAATTTCGATAGGATTTGACGATTCTAAGGGGGTGAAGAGGAAGCAGCCGTGCACAATCACGAAGGAACGTTCCGAGGATGTTGATTGTGTTATATATGCGGTCACCGTGATTATGTTTACGCCACTGACCGGAGAGAGACGACGTTGATGAAAAGACGAGCAATGACTCTGCCCTTTTCAAAAGTGCCGACTGTTATGGAACTCTTGTGCGTTATGCACTTTTCTGCGATCGACTAATAACGTTTCAGACCGACGCGAAGAATATACCGCGACGCGAAGTACATGTCGGAACACATGTCGGTACGTTAATTGTATTTCCGTCGAGTTTCAAAATATTTAATCGAATTTTCGTTGGCACATCGCATTAGTTGTATTTTTCTGATTAAATCGTGACTGCGCGAGTGTTAATGTCAGTGATAGTGCTAGTGCCATAATAGAACAGTCAGGAGCAGAATACTAGATTCGGAAGTCAGAACGAAAGATGCAGGGTACCGAGACGTGGACATCGTATATTTCTAGATATGTCAAATTATTTATTATGCATGATACTTTCAATTTTAGTGGATTTTTCATGAATACTTCCAATTTTATGGATGTTTAATGAATTTACCGAACATAAGGAGAATACCCAATATGAAATTTATTGGGTCAGTGACAGGTATTGGCTTGATTTTTTACTTTTTTTAACGATCAACCGGTCACCTTCTACGATAGAAATAGACATCAACAACACGAATGTTATTAGAACATTGGCGAAGTATCGTAAATAATTAGATCACGATTGCGTGATAGATGAGTAAAGATGATTCGCAAGTTTCTAATAGAATAAGAAAATGATAAATATAGAACTAAATTACACGATTAATATATAAAACTAAAAATTTAATTCGAGATAAATGTGTTAATAGGGCACACATATCCTATATATCTCTTAGCGATTGGAGAAGAAATAATGAAGGATAAGGCACGATAAAGGATAAAGGGCAACTTTTATAGCCTTGACAAATTTATTATTACGTGGTTCTTTTCAAGTTCTTCGCAATTAAAGCACGGCCACCTGATAATTCGACTACGTTATGATCACCCACTTCCTACTCAGCCTCTTTCATTTCAACTCTTGGTCAGGAAAAATCCTACGCGGCAAAAGACCTGCCCTATCAGGATTTTGTTGATTTTACCATCGTATCGTTTTACCTTCGGGGTGGTTTCAGGATTTCATATGGTCTGACAACCCTCGCTACACCGTCGGCAAACGGCACAAGGGTTGCTTTTCTCACGTAGTCGCGATTGTCGGCTGTCGGTGGCGCTCGCGGGGCGAGGTTTCCTAGGGGTTTCTGTGCGACGGGGGGTGGCGAGGAGGGAGGGAGGGAGGGCGTACGTGCAGCGGCCCTTCCGACCCCTCGCGGCGTACGGTGGTACGTACCGTAGGAGAATCGATCTAAAACTAGGAGTCGCCGCAGTAACCGCTGGGAGGAAGCCAGTGTTACAATTCGGGGGCCCCGTATGCGCCAGTGAAATCTTAGACGCCGGTTAATCGTACGTACGCACGGTGGTCGTCGGGTCGCCGCCGCCAGGTACGTCCACGTCGACGGACGTACGTACGTCGCAACCCCTGCGCTCCTCTGTTCTTCCTTTCTCTCTTTCTCACTCTCTTTATTTCTTTCTCTTTCTCTCTCTTTCTCTCTGTCCCCCTCTCTCTCTCTCCTTCTTTCTCTTTCTATCTGTCCTGGGGGCACGGCACACACACGGGTGGCCGGCCGGGGGTGGCCGTGCTTTAATCGCGGAATATAACGGCGGGTGTGCGCTTCTCGCGTGCGTGGGTGCGAGTAAGCGAGACGGAGCGAGGCGCGGCGCCGCGGCTGCGACGGAGACGGCGACAACGTCTCGGCGAGCCGCGCGTGAAGAAGCGAAGTCAGGACAGCCGTTATCAGCCAGTAAATCCAGCCAGCCAGCCAGCCAGTCAGCTAGTACGGGCGGTCTATTCGGCTAGCAGTGAATCCAGCTAGCCAGCCAGCTAGACCAAGTGTCGCAGCGCGTTTCGCTCTCGCGCTCGAGAGACAGAAGGAGAAAGAGAGGGCAGGGACGGAGCAAGAGAACGAGGGAGAGAGAGAGAGACACCTTGCGAGGGTGTACGCGCGAGAGCAGGCTGGGCGGACAGCGCGATCGGAGAGCATCCGCCGCGATATAATGCGACGTGCACCCTTCTTCCTCATCTTGGTGGTTCCTTTGGAATAAAGCCGCGCGCTTGCTGGGACGGTTCCTTACCTGCAGGGCTATGACGTAATGGCAAGAGAGGTACGCATATCCTTCCGTACTCCTCTTCCTTCGCCGCACGCATGCAGCATCCACCCTATGAGATACATCCCCGCGGAGATTATTTTTTGTATTCCTTCCTGTATGTATGTATGTATGTATATATGTATGTATGTATGTATGTATGTATGTATGTATGTATGTATGTATGTATGTCTATCTGTCTGTCTGTCTGTTTGTCTGTCTGTCTGCCTGCTTGCCTACTTGGTTTTCTGTCTGCCTGTCTCTTCCCCGTCTGTCTGTCTGTCTGGTTATCTATTTATCTGTCTGTTCTCCCCATTTATGTATTGCTCTTCGCCGCGAACGAGGGAGATCGTCGTCGTGGAAGTTCTCCTCTCCGCGGAGGACGTCTCTCGGTGACCTATTTTCACGTGACCTCATGACACCCGACGATCCTCGGCTTGCACCCCCAGAGTGCATCACCCTCTCGGCAAGGCCGAACGACCGAAGGGACGAGCCCTTCGGCCCGCTTTCCTCTTCGATGTGCGCGTTTCTCCACGAGAAGGTGTTAGTGCTCCAGTTTTTCATTCGTAGATCCTTTGGCTTCGTTTTACTCTTCGGGAATATCGCGTGTATCTTGGTAGTTCTCCTTCGGGAAACTCCTTTACGGAATTCTGCCGACCGAGGATATTCTTCGGAAATTACTCTCGTTGGAATTCCTGAGGTTTCGCGCTCCTGCGGCTCGGTTCGCTTCATGGGGGTATTTCGCGCGTGTGCCTAGGAAACGTTCCTCCGGCAGCTCTCGTCGATTGCCACGAGATTCTGCCTGTTTCTGAGGATATTCTCCGGCAATTATGTTACCCGACAAGTTTCTGAGATTTTTCACCCTGTCGCACGGCGCGCCACGTCCCAGCAGCGTCCATTGTGACGGACATGCTTTTTCTTCATTTGTAATATGGAAGCATATAGTTGTAGAGACACTCGACGCTGTTGTCCTAGTTTGTGGACATGTTCTGAGTTATGATTCGAGTCGTTTATCACCATCCATGACTTCTAAGAGGAATAATAAATAGATATATACACTCGAAGAGATGTATTTGAACGTATCTCTCGACAAATAAGAAATCGAATGTCTGAAAGAGTGTTTAACCGATAAGGCGGTGGCGCGAGTTCAAAGAAGATACTAGAAATCTTGAGGATACTAAAGGATAATGAAATATTTCTTTTTTTTTGTGTTACTCCATTCATAATTGTTTTCCTTCGGAATCTTCCTGCTTTAAGACAACATGTTACCTCTGTGTATTATTTTTCCAATAATATCACCCTTTTAATAATTATTTTTTACATAATCGTGTTCAATGATCATTTATATAACATTGATTGGAATATTTACATGTGTATTTTTAAGAGTTCATCATTTTCATCACTCTGCTTCATCAATTTACAAGTTTCTTATCGTTTCATTTCACGTTTTTCGAATCACCAGAACTCCTCTAGCCCCTTCGAGTGTCTGTCGCGAATGTTTTCTCCACTGACGAAATCTTTCACAATATCTGTAGTATTAGCAAAATCCTCCTTGTTGTTTTATTCGCACATAGAACCCTTCTTGATGCCTTTCCCGCTCGCGGAGTCCATTTCGTTACTTTGTTCCCTCGTAGATACTCCTTCGTTCTCCCTCACAGAGTCTTTACGTGGATTTTGTCTACGGGTAGAAACCTTTTTTACTCTTTTCCCGCTTATAGACTCGTTCTTATTGTCTCTCACCTCCTTATAATCCTCCCTACTGCTCAGCTCCTCGTTGGTGGATTCTGTTTCGCCGATTTACAAGGATCCTAGAATCTTGGTATCGCCTGCAGTCACTGGCGATGGAATCTCGCGCGAGGGCAAGCCCGTAGAATACAAAAGTTGAAATTCAATGCGCCCTTTGCAAAATTTCGTTCTCTCGCAGCGTGTTTACGTTAAAAATTATATACGGCGGGAACGCGAGAATGTTACTCTTTCGCTGGAATGCTTTTCTCGCTCGTAGAACGCTCTTTACTTCATTGTATACACCTCGTCGCTACTTTGCATGCTCGCAAAATTCTTCTCGTTGTTCCGCACGCTCGCAGACAAAATCCGCTCCATGCAAAATCTTTATCATCGTTTGTCACGTTTCGCAGAATTTCTGTACCCCTTTCGCTTCGCCTTGAAGGCCCTCCTCGCTCGCTTTTACAGTTTCGTGTGTGTCGGACTCTTTAGAATATTAAAAAGGGCCTTTTATTGCTTTGTTTGCGTTTTTTGGAATAAAGAAATAGCGATAAGATAAATAAATAAATGAGAGACATACAGCATGTAATGGATACACCTCTCTCTCTTTCCTCTCTTGGTCGAAACGATTTTAAGAAAGGAGTTTCTTTTTTTGGATTCCTAAGAGATGGTAAATCCTAGCAAATTTCTTGTTAAAGGATGCACCTGAGTTCACGGATTCCAGCAAGAGATGGATATCCTTGTGTATTACTCCCGTGCACGTTCGCTCACATGTGTGTCACATAATTTTTCACACAAATAAGCCGTGAAGAGAGCATTAATGAAAAGTAAAACGAAGTTTTAATTTCCTCGTGACATATATTCAACGTAAACGCGCGCGTCTAAGAATAATGTGTCGATCGCACGTATTGTCGACGTAAGTCTTTGTTTTAGCGTTGCTTTCGCCTTTTGGAATTATTGCGAGAATTCCGCGATTTTAGAATAAAGTCAGCCGCGGATGACTTGAAGTAAATAAAAAATTTGCAAAAGTTGTTGGCGGCAGTTCTCGACGATACTTCGTTAAGAGATGCACCTGGGTACATCTACGTCGCACAGGCCGCTGCAGCTGCAGGCGGTTCCCTATTTGCTCGTTAGCACGTTGCTATGTTGTTTACTAAGTTCCATCCACGAGCGAGTTCGCGAGTGCATCGGAGATTGCAAGGGGTAAGGATGAGTGAAGGAGGGAGGGAGGGAGGGAGGGGGGGAGGGGAGGAAGGAAGGAAAGGCCGATCCTCGTACTGCTCAGACAAATATTCAATTTCGAGGCCTCCGACTCTTAAATCTCGGAAATCCTAAATCCTCGGGCGTCGACCGTTTTGATTCTTTGATCCTGAACTCTCAGCTTCCCGTCCGATCCTCTTCTACATCTTTTCCCGATGTTGCTTTGGATTATCGTGCTGTTATCGGCACGTTATGATTTGTCGAGGAAGTTCCTCAATTCTCGCGTTATTAATTGGATGTACAACTTTTAGAATGTTTCGCGGTCGTTTAAATGTGTCGCGTGAGCGAAAGCTCAGAAAGCACCTTTGAAGCACACGCGTGTTAGATGCTGGTTGATTTAAATTCCAATTTTCGCCGGCTGATAAAACAGAAATGTACGAAATATAAGCGGAGCGAGGTGTAACAATAAATAGGTAAATAGACAAATAAAATTCTCTTTTACATATTCGAATCGAGCACTCGTATCTTACCGGCGTGTCACGCGTAATAACAAGGAAAAATTGCCTAACACAAATATGATAATAATACATTAATGTGGTCGACGAATGACCGGCAAAATTGACGCGCAGCATAGAATAAATAAGCGAAATTGCAAGTTAAGACCGGTTGAATCAGGTCAGTGCTTTTGAGCATGAACTGCGCACGCTCTCTCTTTCTCTCTCTCTCTCTCTCTCTCTCTCTGCACCCTTAGCGCCACCCCGTTGAAGACTAGGGACAACCTCAAACATAATGCACCCCTTCGGCTCACATTATTCCGAGATCGCCAGCGACGTCGGGATGCAATCTCGCCGATCGAAGAGTGCAGGTGTACCCACAGTGCGAAGTACGACAAAGTGCTGCGAACTCAATAGATATCCGCGAATAAATCGTACGCAGTAAATTCGCCCCTCGATCGGCAAATTAATGCGATAATTATTCACCGATAAACCCGCCGGAGTAGCCGCCGAGTAGAGAGAGTCAATGGAAAGAGTTTGCGCGAGCCGTAGCAGTAAGTGCCTTCCGTTTGCGTATACTTTCAATACCGTTTAATCTAATCGTTCGTATGATTCGATATGAATACTAAGCTGTTCCAAGTGTATCTAAATGTAACGCAAGAGCAACCGAGTGCGTCGTGAGTCTAAAGTCTACGCTCGTGGAATTTTCCTGGACACTCGAACGTTCAAATTTCTCGACACCGAGATCCGAGAGGAGAGAGATCGCTAGATTCTTACGCATGTGGAATTTAGAGCGAAAGTAGGTCTAAAAAACTGGGCGCCCTCTTGAATTGCAGAATGTGTGCTTATAGTTGCATGGTAAAAATAATTCTGCAAGCAGTTCGTATGTCATAGTCTATGTTTCTCTTTGTTCTCTCGTATTAATTTTTCCTTCTCGTTTCAGTTGTCCGTGTGATAGCCGTAGTGGACTCAGGACAATCCCTTTCTGGTCCTATATGTCCTGCATGTAATTTATCCACATGTATCTTTACGCTTCCCTCCTTGAGAACAGCGGGCTTGTACGAATTTGTTGTTAAGCTGCTTGCTTCGTCTCGCAAAATATGTCCATTTTGCAGGGTGAAATGTTCGAAAGTTTCGTATGCAAGACTTTATTCTATCAGCCGTTACAACATGGTTACCATGTTGTATGTGTGTGTGTATGAGGCTTGCCGGGAAATTATTTACTCCACTTAACATCTGGGCGACGAGCGTTTGCCTGGGTCACCTCTTCAAGCTTCTATGCTTTTCTTGCAGCGAATTATTTTTAAGTTATGTGTGAGTCGTCGCTTATTTGCCAAGTCCCTTTGTCTGTGGCTGCGCAGCACGTGGCAAAACTAGTCAATGATCGATCGTTCACGCATACGCGCGAGCTTGGATGAGAATCGCATAAATTTGGAAATTCGCCTGAGATATCGCACGATCTTCCGGCGATAAGTGGCGAATCGTATGTCACAAACAGCGTTGAATTTGCTATCCTACCCTTCTTTAACGTTCAATATCTTTATTTTTACAAAGGGCTTTTTAAATGCGTGTAAGCTTGCACGAGCTTCCGGAGAATATTTAAGGTCAATAGTCAATCGCAAATGTCAACCATTTTTAACCTTAGCTGTTCATTGCGGTGCAGCGTGTACTGATATTTTTTCATCATACTAAAATTGATCGAGATTGCCAGTCATGCCCTTTCTGCTATAAAAATTTCTTTTGATATTTAATCACTATCTACCTAAATTCTGGATTATCTCTAGTGTTCCATATATTTTCGCTCTCGCACCCCGTAAAAGAGAAATGTCGTTTTTCTTTCATCTGTTCTCTGTGTGATATCAATGTGTGTGTGTGTGTATTTTAATTGTTGTGCACAAAGCAATATTAGGGGTTATTTTCGATTGTATTACGTAATTTTTGCACAGGAGTTACGGACCAAGAGACCTTTTAAGATATGGGACAGCTGGCGTAACGTAAGAAAGGGATTGGTCGTTAGCAATTTCGAAGAGTTGATTGTCCGGGGTAAGAAACATGTAGATCTAATGAATTAAACTCAAACACTAGCTAATTTATAATAAAACATCGCTCGATGTTAGCGCACTCTTCGCTTTGTTCGGAGTCATGCTTCTCGAATATTATGATGATCAGAGGGAACACTCAACAATTAGTGATTTATTAACCGTCTGTCGTTCGTATTACCCGTGTTGTTTCTTGGTTTCGCAGATTAACGCAGATAACACACCGTAATGTGTCTTCTCTCTTTTCACGACACTCGACGTATCGCTTTATCGGTCGCGACATATTCTTCTCACGTGGAACGTTTTTTCTTCTTCAAACGGAAAGAAAATTTAATCTGAGGATCTCGCGCTAAGCGCGAGAAGGTAAATCAGATGTGATCAGTTGTCAGATCAGTTGTTCGTGAAGAATAAACAAAAAAATGTAAAAAAGAGCACGGAGGAAACAGAAAAAGAGGGGAAAAAAAAATCGATTCTCGTCGCGACGCGTACTGGATAACTTCTGCGAGCGTCACGCGTGCTTCCGGAGCACTCTTTCTCTCTGTCCGGTCGGCGAGGAAATATTTCCGGTCGGAAATATTTCCGCGCGCCGTATCGCGCAGTATTGCATTATCTGTAAAGTTCCTTTGAAAGTGTCGCTCGCGCCCAACATTTCTCACAACATTTCTCCGGAGACAAAGCGCCGTTCGTTCGAGGACACACCACACCATTATTCGCAACTGCGCCCATTCACGCGATTACACAGTACAGGCGGCACGTGGCATACGCACACACGCACACGTCCTGTCATCGCGCACAGCACGCGCGTACGCGTATACACGCACACGCCACACACACCTGCGTGCGCGCGCGCGCACACACACGCACACAACACACACACATATGCAAATACACACGCATACGCAAACACAAAAGCATGCATGTCCTACATGTGACACGCAACCAAGAGTGTTGAGGCGTTATCGTGACGTCGAACGCACGCACCCCGTAAGCTTCAACCGTCGCGATGTTGCTTTTAGGTAAAGAAAAGCTCGGAGTGCCACAAAATGAGAATGTCTCGTTAGTTTTGGAGTCGGACGGCACGCAAGTCGAAGACGGCGAGTATTTCAAGACTTTAGGCAACAACACGATCCTGCTCTTGCTGCGACATGGTGAACGCTGGTGTCCCACTGGCGTCGACATCATACGCGCTGGTACGTGAGCGGGATCGGTTACACCGATCAACTTTTTAGGGGAAATCGGCAACTTGGTTGAGGTGGCTAAGGTTGAAGCGACACGGAACGACAGATCGATCTGTGAGCGAGAAGGGCGTATCTGAGGGATTGTATCGATGAGACGTGTAACGGTCTGCTCGGTTGAAAGAGATCAGGACATCGGGAATGTCGAGGGGATTTCTTTTTCGTGTTTCTTCAACGTGTAGTCCGTAACGAAGCAGAAGAAGTTGAATTCTTACACGGACCTTTGAACGATCAACCAAGTAGCTCTCCTTCTATTATCAAGTGTCTAGACTGTTCTGGATTTTTGAACCCTCGAATATACAGCTTTAGAGTCATACGCGCTGCTATGTAAAGGGGATATTACAACGATCAACTTTGGTTGATGGAAATCGGCAACTTGGTTGAGGATACTAACCTCGAGGCAACTAAAATTGATCAAACTGAATTACACGTGGCAACTGAATCCTTACACACACACAAGCCTTTAAACGATCAACCAAGTAGGTTTTCTTCTTCTTCTTCTCTTAAATCATTTAAATGTCTTGGACTCTCTCTTTCGATTCTTCTTACCACCCCGAAAACCTCTTTAGACTTTTGGATCCGTAAATTCTACTATGACTCCCTTCAAAAATCTATGAATCTCGCACTCTCTCGCGGTGGATTACCGGCACTGATTTGTCACGTCTTGCAGCACCGAACACTACCACCACCCGTAATCAATCCTCCGTCTCCTCCATCGCGCTATACCGATTATCGACCGTTAACCCCTGTCTTCTCTTCTCTTTGTATTCCCAGCAATTTCGGCAATCCCGAAAATAGTCTGCGAGACCATCCACGCGCTGGAGTTGCACGATGAAACACCATCGTGGAAGATTATGGACAATAAAGGACGGGTTACAGTGGTGCTGCACTGGGACCAACGTTCATCTTCTACGTCGCAAGTGCAGCAACAGCAATCGAAGCCGGGCCAGGACGCCCAAACCTCCAAATATTCCCCGACTAAGAAAGCCGACCTGAGCGGTGCTCAACGACCGTCTCTGGTGATCCAAACCAGCTTGGATAAGCTCGGCTATGACGGCAAAGGGGCGCACCTGCCCGGCGAGATTGCTCCGACGCGGTACACCAGTCCGCGAATCACTGTGATAAATCATGATGATATGGTATATTCAACTATGATTTTGCCTTGTTCCGAACGTTATATGTGTGTGTATGTGTAGCTTTAGATCTTGTTCTCTTCTCGACATCTACCGTTGACATTTTACGAGCTAATCAATAAGTCCAAGTCAAGATACGATCGAATTAATGAGATCTTTACATGAATGACCTGAAATTCTCTTGAGAAGGTGGCAATTGGAATATTGTTGTTGCGTCAATCTCTTTACTTTCAAATGCGTTGCTTATCGTTACATTGAATCGTTTGCTCTATACGTAGCAACCGAGCGATTGCTATCGTACCATCTTCAACTTTGTGTTTGTCCCAACAGCAGCAGCCGGCGCAGCCTCATGCCATGCCGGGCCGTCTCGTGAAGCAAGGCACGAACTCGTTCGACAGTACGACCATTCACATTCACACACCAGAGTGCTCTAACCATATCCACCAGCCGGTCGCGCGAAACGGCAGCCCGGTAAACGGCGCCGATGGCGGTGCCGTTGGCGAATGCGACTTCCACTGCTGTGCGTTGCATGAAGAGGGCCGCAGGATTGCCGTGCACAAGTCGGTTGCGACGTCGCCGATTCAAGATGCGCAGCATCAACAATACCAGCATCCACATCATCATCAACAACAACAACAAACTCAAACCCAAACACCATCGCCGCAGCCACCGTCCTCCTTGTCAGACGGTACCAAGCGACCTGGTTTGAGCAAAGGTCACGTGCGCTTCCGCGACACCGCCGACGAGGAGCTGAGCTCGCGTTTGGCCAGCGTACATTTACACCACCATCATAATCACCATCAGGAGCACGATAGCTCCGAATCCGAGACGGAGAACACGATAATGGAGGATGAGATCGTGACCTCGGAGAAGTTTTTGCTGCTGATTGACCAGCTGACGGTCGATCAAAAGCACCATCTCAGCATCAAAGACATCGGCATCATTCTGGAGCGACTCAGCTCCAAGATCCTCGACGTCGAGCGGCTGGATCGCGAGAGCGAAAGCGAGGAGTGTTACAATTGGACGATAAAGGCTATCATAAGGGGCGATGTTCTGCGGGAGCTCGGGGTAATCTATAATGGGAATTACTACGCGATTTCCGAGCATCCTGGCTACAAAGAAGAGTCCGAGGAAAATAATGACGATAATGAGGAAGAGGAGGAAGATAGACTTTAATATGATGCTGGATACTAGATAGATAGATAGATTATACATCTATTCATGATTATTATTAACTTAGGACGTTGTAACGAAATAAGAGCGGGGAACACCACGTGGTTTCCCTTGGATCCGAGGATTTTTCGATTCTTAAATCTCCGTGCGATTTGAAGGTCCGCACCATTCCCTGGAATTTTCCTAGGATCTGTCCGTGATATTCTAGGATCCACGAGGATTCGATTTCTTCCAGAATTTTCCTGGGACTTTCTAGGATTCTCTTAAAATTTTATATCTGCAAAATATAATTCTGAAGAAACAATATGTTTAGGTCCACAAAATATATCCATATCGTTTACAGATTGCGACGAGAAACATTTTATTGCGCGTATCAGACATACTTCAACTTTTTGTTTAGTTTTATATAAAATTTGCTTCATTTGTAGAATCCAATTTTTTTTTCATATAAAAGCACAATTTTGCTATACGTTCAGCTTCCAATCTACTTTCAGACAACATTCTCTCCAACATCTTTGTTATATTTCTAATAAATTTTTCTTCAGTATTATGCATTTTTATATTATTATTTGTCAACATAGTATATTTATATTTTTTAATAGTTGCTACAACTTGTTTCTTATGTTTACCAATAAATTTCTATTATATAAATTCCTTCCTGTATACATTTTTTTTACTTATTACTTTATTATTCTTGTGTGTTTTACTTATTTTTTTAGAATAAAATATTTTTGTGATATTTATAATATTTATATTTTCATTTTTTTAAATATAATCGCCACGAATACAGACGATTTACTTTTTTTTAGAAACACACACACACACACACACACACACACATATATATATATATATATATATATATATATCATTGTGTAATTTATAATAAATTTTTTTTTAAATATAATTGCACCGATTACATACAATTATCAATTATCAATTAGACGTGACGCTTTCGCATCGCTTGATATATGTATTTTAATACGTATCTCAATTATTACATTTAAAAACGACATATTAGAACGTTATAGTCACAACAAGAGACTTAAACTTTGTCACATTTGTAAAAAAAACTTAAACAATTGATCGGAAGAAAAATCCGATCGCTGAAAATTTGTATTTTGGGTTGTGATAATTTCAAATTTCAGGATTAACTGCACTATAATTTTTATAAGATTGGTCACAATTGAAAGCTCATATTAACGTTTCATATTAACGTTAGAAATGCAATTAGATTTTTCATTACGGCTTTATTTCCAATATTTTAGTTGGAAACACGATTGTCGCAAAAACTCCGGAAAAGCTTCTTGGTAGCATCGTATATTATGAACATAGTCACATTTCGGTCTCGGTCTGTCATTCTTGGACTCGTTTTGTACTTGGCATCGCGACGCTACCGCGTCGCTTGATATTCAACGCATATAGAATGAGAATTACGGCATCAAAATAACACAATCGATTTATCTAAACTCGCCTAAAATTTGATAAATTTAGAATTTCTCAGAGATCTTCTAGGATTTTCCAAGACACTCCTAGAATTTTTTAAGATTTCAGGATCCCTTCCTTAGAATTCCTTAGGACTCTAACAAGGGACATGAAAGAACTGTCCCTCTTCGATTTTGATGCGCTTTGGATATGTTGTAGAGCATCAAAAAATAAGAGACATATATCTTTTTTATATCGGCTTATCTCAAGGTTTAGGGGTTAAAACAGTCCCTTGAAAAAATAAACTTTTTCATTATTATGTAATAATTCCTAAGATATGAGGTATATGAAAAAATGTTTCATACAAAAGTTACAGTATTTAATATTCTTTGCAACGGCATAGTTTATTTTTTTAGTGTTATATTTTTTAACTTCCCCTCTCCCCTCTCTACTCGTTATCTTCGCAAAATTTTTAAGTTTTATAAGAACAAAAATTGTAAAAGCATTTAATACCAAATCCATCCATATATAATAGTAAAAGTGGAGCTTGCTTTAATTATTGGAAAACAACGTGATAACATTGTGCTATAGGCGCTACCCTCGTAAAAAAAGTTTATAGAGAACGATAGAATAAAATTCTATCATTCTATCGTTTTTTATCGTTTTGAATATGGATTTTGGTTCGTGAATTCACAAATGTGAATAGTACTCTATCGTATACGATAGAAAACAATAGATAGTGATAGAATTTCTATCGTCAGGTTCTTATATAATACAAATAGAACCTGATTCTTATAGAACCAGATAAAATACGATAGGATTCATATCTGATGCTCGCGAATGTTAACGCTTGCGAACGATAGAGCTTACAGAAAACCACAGAAATTAATAGAAATTCTACCGTTCTCTATCAACTTTTTTTACCAGAGTACACTGTCCAAGTAGATGGATACTGTAGATAGATATGTTAATGTAGGTAGGGGAATAGAATAAATTGTAGAAAAATAATATAGACAATTGCATATATTTAATATATAATGTTTACAATGTATAATGTTATTATATAATGTTATTATAATATATATTATATTATATATATAATATATTATAATGTTATTATAATATATATTATAATATTTTTATATTATATTAATCATATAATTAATATAATATTCAATATAAAATCGATACAGACCTTGCATATGCACAGAAAAAAAATGTTTTATTTATGGCACATATTCGTTACAAAGGTGGTGCTCATGGAAAAAACGTGTGATGCAAAGTGGTTGTTTGCACCAAGAAAAAATAATTTTAGCAGTTTTGTTACAAATATCGTATTTTACTTTAGAAATTTTTTTTAAATGCTACAAAACGTAACATTTTCAATAACTTTTTTAGGGACTATACCGGCAAAACATTCTTAATAAAAACGTTACATTGTTATTATTTTGCTTAAAAAAAAGTATACACATTTTCCATTTATATAACATAATTTAATATTATTAACATAACTGTACTTTTTTTTGTTCAAGTTAGCATTTAAAAAAAAATTCTAAAGTAAAATACGATATTTATAGCAAAACTGCTAAAATTACTTGTTCTTGGTGCAAACAATCACTTTGCATCACACATTTTTTCCATAATCACCACCTTTGTAATGAATATGTGCCATAAATAAAACACATTTATTTTCTGTGCGTATGCAAGATACGTATCGTTTTTATAACAAATATTATATTAATTACATGATTAATATAATAACTATGATATAATATAATAATACATTATACATTGTAAGCATTATATATTAAATATATGCAATTGTCTATATGTTATTTTTCTACAATTCATTATATTCCCCTATCTACAGTAACATATTTATCTACAGTATTCATCTACTTGGACAGTGTGGCGCCTATAGCACAATGTTATCACGTCGTTTTCCAACGATTAAAGCAAGATCAACTTTTACTATTATATATGGATGGATTTGGTATTAAATACTCTACAATTTTTGTCCTTACAAAATTTTAGGTACTAAAAAGGTACTTAAAAATTTTACGAAGGTAATGAGTGGAGGGGGGAGGGGAAAATTAAAAAATTTAACACTAAAAAAATAAACTATGTTGTTGCAAATAATATTAAATACTGTAACTTTTGTAGAAAACATTTTTTCATATACTTCATATCTTAGGAATTATTATATAAAAATGAAAAAGCTCATTTTTTTCAAGGGGCTGTTTTAACCCCTAAACCTTTAGATAAGCCAATATAAAAAAATATGTGTCTCTTATTTTTTGATCCTTTACAATATATCCAAAGCAACACATCAAAATCGGTGAGGGACAGTTCTGTCATGTCCCTTGTAAAAATTTCTGATGTTACGATCCTGTAGAATCTTAAGATTTCCCGTAATGATCCTGTGAGTTCAGTATATATTAATTGATCTTATAATTTTCTAGGAGTTTTTAAAAATTCTTCTGATCCTAGGATTATCCGGAACACTTCTACATTTGATTTAGGGTGTTTCAGTTTTTTTCTGAAATTCTTTTGTTCCAGGATTCTCGCATGAAGTTTTCAGGTCTTACTGTAGGCTTATTTGCTCTCTGAATTGTAGGTGTTCTTGAATCTCCCCTAGAGCTTATCTGGATTTTTGGATCCTGGAACCCTGGCGCCCCGCACACCTCAGATCGCAAATATCACCTTAGTTCCCGTCAGCCTTAGCTTACATCCTATCACACATCCTATTATCCTAGCCTAGGTGCCTTAGATTCCAGGTACCTTAGATCCCACAGACATCCAGCTCCTATTCGCTTTAGATCCTAGGTGCCTTAGATCTTAGACACTGTACATTCTAGATCTCCTAGATCCCAAATACTTCTCTTATACTCATGATCTTGATATAGATCCTAAGTTTCACAAATCCTCGCGTGTTTTCAATTTTTCTTTTTGGGCCCGTATGCTAAGTCGTTCCTCGGTTTTCTCTCGTTAGCGTGGAAGTTCAAGGTGGCTCGCAACGCGATTCGAGAGTCTAACTACAAAGAGAAATCCGAGGAAAATAAGAGATAACGTTAAGGAGGAAGAGAATAGACTTTATAATATGATGTTGTTTTATTAGATAGATAGGTAGATAGATTATAATTGAAAGATTCAATGCAACTGCGGTTTAGTTCACTTTCCTAAAATCTTGAGAGCATAAACTTTAGAATGTTGAGAACATTAAATCTAGAACATTAATTTTCTCAAGTTCTTACAAAAGTGAGCACCGTTGCGTCGAATCTCTTCATTTACCCAGCACTCATGACTTTGCACACGGGTCTACGATCGGTCCAAAGATGATCGGCTTCTTTGGATCACGAAATCCTCGGATCGAAGATGAGATCCACGGATGCGACGCGCGGAAGATGAGCGACGCGCGAGAATCGCCCGGGTCGAAATTTTGATTCTGCATTAACTTCGCGTGCAAATTCCGTCGAACTTGCAGAACCAATGGAGAATCTCAAGATATAGCGCAAGAGATATAACATAAAAAGTCCAATCTCTTTTGATGCTATAAATGGCGGCTTATCGTCCCCTTTTGTTGAGACTTGAGAAGCTTTTATAATTAATTAATATTCTTTTATCTCAACACTTCATATTGAGTCTCATCATCCATGTTGAGCATTGAAGTAGAACAATGGCTTGCATATAGGGTTATATCTCTCTCGAGATTTTCCGTTAATCTCTCAAGTTCAGTGATATTTGCAAGACGAACTAAAATTTCGATCCGGATATATTCCGCGTCGTGGAAAGAAATCTAATTATCGTAAGGTCGAAAGGCAACTGAGGGTAGATCGACAAAGGGGTCGTTTCTTTCGCGAACGTAAAGGAAAAATGACAAGTGAGGAAAGCGATGCGCTAAAGAACATCGCATTTAATTCTCGCACGAGGCGATCCTTCATTAAGATCTAGTTCTAAAAACGGTTGTTGAAATATGTACTTATTAAAACTAGTATGTATACTTGTAGGAAACATTTTTGGGATTACGGATGTCGATTCCGTAACCGTCCACAACACTGCCGCAACTCTTTTGAACAAGAAAAGAAAGACGATAGAGAAAAATGGCGAAAGAGGGTAGGAGAGGGTGTGAAAGAAGTAAAACGTGTCGATATATTATACAAAACAATTCGACTCGACGCGACACGAGAATGGCACATATGGTGCACGATCAATTGTCGACGTCGGGAACGATCGGCGATCTTGAACATCATATAGAGATATCACGGCGAACACGTGTATCAATTCATAGATCG